AAGAAAAGTTCGCCACTATTTTGAAAGAGAATACATACTTCACCTCCCAGACCCAGAAAGCAAAAAAAAACTTCAATGGAAAATCCCTAAATGGCTTCTCCCCAAACTAGAACTAGGGTTTCTGCGAAAGAACTCCCTCGGCTTCTCATATTTGAAAATTGCAGAAACCCACGGTAGGCCCATCCCATTTCCGGCCTTGTTTGAACTCCGGCCACCATCTCGCCGCCAAGACTGTCGGTGATGCGTGTCTTTTCCTTTTTTTTTCCTTCTCCATTTTCTCTGTTTTCTTGTTCCCCTTTCTGCCGCTAATCTTTTTCTTCTTTCTTCATTTTTTTTACTTTATTTATGTTTACTAGTATTGTCAATAGTCAAGGGTGACACGGTGTAGCATCTTTTCTTTCATTTTCTTTTACTTTACACTTTTTATTTACCTTATTGCTAGTATTCACATTTCAGTTTTAGATGCTTTTAGTAATTACAACTAAATTTAATTTATGTTATCTTTGTTAGGATATTTAAGATTATTTTGGCACTTAAACTTGAATATATGACATTACTATCTATATATATATATGTTTTTTAAGCTTTGATGACTTGTGTTCGCGAGGCCTCGCCATGGCAAATCGCCTCACCTCGTGGCGAGGCTATGGGCGAATCGCCTCGCCTCGCCATTCGCCATTTAAAACTATGGTCATTGTTGACAATTCTCCTGGCATAGTGCTAATAATGGACTAGATCAAAATGGCTCAATTAAATTCTAGTGCTTCTTCTATTAGTGAAGTTCTAGAAAAAAAAAAATATATCAAACGGCGCAATGCACCTTGGGTTGCTACGGAAACAGCCTCCTTGTATAATTACAAGGGTAAGGTCTGCGTACAACTCCCCCTAGACCCCAACCTGTTGGAAATATACTGGGTATGTTGTTGTTGTAATGTTTATTGTTTACCACAAAATTAATCAGTAGTCAAAGAACCGACTCACATATTTGAAAAGATATATTGATTGTCATGCATGCTTGACATGTGAAATACTTCTTAATTGGTCAATGGTTAATATGAGACGCCATGTCTCTCTTGTTCGGTAATCACCACTTCAAAATTATGTATTAGCGCATCTCCATTAAAAGGTGTCCATTTTTGTAGTTACAAAATACATAAATGGAAACATGAAGTGGTATTTTGCATGGCAACGTAGGCAGAAAATGACGAGTGAAGCTTTAGTTTAGTCTAGATTACTTAGTTCCTACTATACCCTTTGAGGACTTCTTACAATTGTGAGAGATACCGGTATTCTACCTGCTTAACACATGGACTTATTATACCATGTATTATTCTCAGTCATTACAGCAGTTGGATGTAAATCTACCATGTTTAGTAATCACCACATCAATATATATATGAAGTGTAACAGAAATGTTCTTCTCTTTTGCTTAGTATTTTTGAATCTAACGTGCTTATGCTGACAATAAGATTTAATGGGTAGTCAATTTTGTTCACCTTCATTTCAACTTGTTTTCGTTTTTCTACTTATCTTCCCTGGCTTCAGATTGAAACTGTTGTGGCCATAAATATGCTTAACTGTTGTTTGTAAAGCTATTGAACACCAGTTCAGTTTCGATATTGTTTACCATCATAGGCATTTACACGTGGACATGAAATCACTAGGTACCCTTGAGCTAATGGTTGCTTCTGATTTCTCGCACTCTGAATCCCCAATATAGATCTTAAAGTGTTACTTTTGCAATTTTCATTCTGACAATTAAAAAATACTATGGATATGAAGAAGCTCATTCCATGTGCCATTTGCAGTTGATGAATAGTTTAAATTTGGGAGTTATGTTGGTTGAGTTAATTCTTTAGGGTTTTCCGTGCAGCGGTCCTCATAAGGATACCTATGTTGACTGGTGGGGAATTTAAATTGAAACACATTGACGAGTCGTGCGAAGGAACTGTAGTACAATTCAATATAATACATGCATGTGGTTGGATTAATATACTCCACAATGTATATGGTTAGCTGTCCAAATATTCAGCTCTTCAAGTCTTTAGCACCATCTCAATTATGTTGCTGTCATCTTTTGGATGAGAAAATTCTAAAGCATCAAATTAACCAGTATTTTATTTCTTCATTAACATTGATTCGGAACATAAATCCATTTCTAGTAAGAAATATTCACTGGATTTGTAACGAGTTGCCATTATTCGCCAGTCATCTTCAATATTGGAAGGTACTCTTTTTTGTTCTTCTTTTTTTCTTAAGACAATTGTCTCTCTTCTTATGCTAATAGAAGAACGAGATGCTCTAAGAATGCCCGAGAAATATGCTTATGTGTTGAGTCATAATGCTCGTAACCTAGCTAGTGACCATTTGTACCCTGCACGAGCCTCTGCAAGATCGTCCTGTATACCAATATTTGGACCAACTTAAACTTTTTCTCTATTATTGCACCATTGTTATCAATAAAAAAATATTCTATAACACCTGATATCTTCATATTCTGTATAGATCACTTTCTTGGTGCACATCATCATTACCAACTTTACGCATAATCATTTTTTATAGCTCTTGTTAAGTTTGGTTTTGAGACAATATAACTTCTGCCACAGTGTTGCTTCTGGAAGCCTATGGTGTGTAAATACAATTAGCACGGTACATCTTCACACAAAGAATACCGTTTCTTGTACACAAGATCTATTCTGTCATCACTTTTATTACTGTTGTGTCAATAATTTTAACCGCAATGTCAAACTAAGATTAGACCCTCCTTTTTATTACACCACACCCGTCAAGTCATGCATATTAGATATCTGTCTTACATCGTATAATCCGTTTCCACCACTTTCTCTCTTTTAATTGCAGTTCATCAAAAAATTTAAGCTCTTTAGATGAGGTAGTCATTCACTTGATACACAAATCATGAAAGAATTCAATGCAAGAAATAAATAAAAGCTTTCATTAATAAAATAGACAACTTGAGCTGGAGAAGAACATAGAAAGACCCCATATGCCTAAACAGGACCCACTAAGATTATTGTCTCTTTCTTCTACATTCAATAAAAATAAACCCAATCCCTAGTCCTGATCGGCATTCGCCATCCAAACCTCTCGTTCACGCCTGAGGATCGAGATCCAATTCTTGAGGCACAGCCTCGGGATCCCGACATCCGCGCACACCTGCGCCACTTCCTCCGGAGAGTAATCCCTGAACATTTTAAAATTTTTGCTTTCAACGATGTCCCTCAGCATCTCCTTCTGCTCAACTGTCATCCTTCTCCTCTGAACTACAGGCTCCTCCTCCTCCTCCTCCTCCTCCTCCACCTGCTGGTTCACCATTCTGTGGATCTGAGGCCCATTAGGGGGAAGATTGGCGATTTCGGGCCCTGGAGCCTGCTGGGGTGGGTTTTGCTGATGGGCCTGGGCCCGGGGTTGCAGGTCTGTGATCTCGGCTGGCGGGGCCCGGTCAAACCGGGGGAGGGTGACCTCCACCCTCCGGTGAAAGTTGCGGTGGCAGCCACAGGCAGCACACTGCAGGAAATCCGGGCTCCCATTTGGGCCCTTGGGCTCAAACAGGAGACATCCGTCGAGAATGTATCGTCTGAGGGGAGCCCCGTGGTTGTGCAGGCACTCCCGATGCATGACAACCACTAATTCGAGGCGTAAGCCGTTGTTGTTCGTGTTTTCCATCTGAAAAAAACTTAAGGGAAGGGTAAGGGGGAGAGGAAGGTAATATTTTAGGGTTTGTGGTGTGAGGGGAAATGGGGATTGTGTTGGGGGTATTTATGGGGGGTTGTAGGCAAATTATTGTGAAAATCTGGAAAATGTGATTTTAGGGCGGTGATAGGATTTTGAAATTGCTGAGCTTTTGCAATGAATAAGATTACCTAAAGAGTTGTGATTTTTTTTATATGGTGTTATTTTGACAATTTGATTCTTAATTATTTGAATGTAGACTAATGTGGAAAAGAGCTATTTTTGCTGTGCACTTGAATTGTTTTTCAAGACTTAATTATTTATATTTTTGTTGAAAAAGTTATAAAATTATCAATGTTATATTTCCATATGTTTTGCTCAAACGCTTGCGTTTATTGTAGCATGACGATTAACGTGTGCGATTATACAACTAAATTTTCGGTTTATAGTTTCAATTAATCAGCACTTCACGATTAGTGAGTGTAATTTCTTATGATAATTATACAAAAATACAGTTTTGGAATAGTTTCATATATCTGTGGCATAGGATTACATTAATGTTATTTCTAGTTTGGTTTATATTACTTTCTTATTCAGTCAAATGGACTAAAGCAAATAATGTCATACTTATCTGTACAATAATGGTATTTCAATTTCAAGGCTTGTATTTTTCTTTTCCAGGTGACCTGGGTCAACATATCTTCTGTCATTTTATGATGGTCAAATGTATAAAATTTAAAGCAAAAACCAAAAACCTATTGTTTTTAAATTGCTTAATGAAAGTTTTAATTTATTTTCAAATTATACTATACTCTGAACATTTTAATTCAAAGATCTTTCTCTAGAAGGTGACTTCATATTTAGGGAATAACTGCATGATGTGTAACTCTATATTATTGAACTCATAACATTGTGAAGGTTTGAAACCATTATTATGGCTTAAATTTGTGGAGAAACAAACTGGATTACTGGAATATAGAATTACGATTTCCTGTTTTTTTTTTTTTCCACGTCGCCACCATGAAAATGATCAGGATGCCATTGATAGATGTTGCTTTTTGTTCTTAAAATTACTAATTCATTGATGGCCGCTGCTTTGTTTTCAGTTACTTACTGATTTCATTGACAGACGTTGCCTTGTGTTCTTTAACTTTGTTATTTGTTCTTAACCCATATTCTTATCAAAATTTTTGTTGCTGTGTTGGTGTTTTCGGATGAAGAACATTTATGCTCATTTACTGGAGAAGAAAAACTCTTTCTCATTGTTCATTTCCTAAGACTATATCATAACCGAACTCCCGTTTGTATCCTTGAAGCTGTATCTTATGCTATTTCTAATTTTTACTTCAATTATGCATTTTTCATTTCATAGTATTACTTTTATTGGTGTTTCAGATGGCTCCGTGTTTTGCAGAATCATCCTAAGAAATTTTCCATGCAGAATTGATTCACATGAAATATGCCAGTAAGCTCTTGATCCTCTCATAAATGTGCGTAAGATTGTACTTTATAAATTTTCTCAATCACTAGGCATATCTATGCCGTACATGTCCATTAAATGTACGTTCTCTGTATATAAGAATATTCATTGTCAGCTGACTGATAATTATTTAGTAAATGTGAAGGTGACATACAATATTATAGGGTCTGCAAGGAAGTGAAAAATGTATAACTCCGTAATCCTCAGCCTGTCCATGCTTACACTGCATCATGCTTGTTATATGCTAAATACGGTCTCAGTCCTGAAAGTTTCATGTCCGTTAGAGTCGTTAACTTGGCAGGAGAGTTAGACCTTTTGAAAGCAAATAAGGAAATCTTATTAAAGCTGTAGTTATAAGTGTGGCTACTCTAAAGCACTGAGACACACACGATATGAACTGGCCACAGATATATATATAATATGCCAAAGTTAGACATTTAACATGCAAACCATTTATAATGGCCTACGTCGATTAAATGATCAAATCATAAACCAGCTTACATATAGTAACTGCAGCTTTCTGATGTTGTCTTTCAGCAATTTAAGTTGCTTAGAATAATTTGCCCACCAGTTATTGGAGAAAGCCAGCTCATGTGTGTGTGTGTGTGTGTGTGTGTGTGAGAGAGAGAGAGAGAGAGAGAGAGAGCATACCCTTCCTGTAAAAGAAAATTTATGAACTTGTTTTCACTTTTTCTAAAAGAAACCTGACAGTAGAGTATGTTGCGACCCCTTCGATCTCCTGACAGCTAGATATGTATTAGCTCCTAAAACAATGGACAATTAAGCTCCATCTATGGCATCAGGTGTCTAAGCCTCATCTACACTACTCATGAAGATCAAGATTAATATATCATACTATCAAAACAATGCTCTGAAATGCAGCTTGTTTCTGTCCAAAGGTACTTGTCTTCCCATGAAGTATTATTTTTCCCAGTTCTGACCTTAGGTAGCTATGTGTTGCATGATTGGCTTTCGTGGACAGTCAATAGTGATTATAAATCTCGGCCCTTGTATGTTATCTTTAATCGTTGGTTCCACATTTTTCCTTTTTCGCTCAATTCCGTGAGCCTAATCTTTAACTCCTCATTTCTCTTTCTTTCTCTTGCCGTTGTATTTTTCTTGCAAAAAGCTCATTTTGTAGGAAGTGCATTGAGTGACGGAAAAAAAAGTATATATATATATCGAGATCGAGATCGAGAGAGAGAGAGAGAGGCTACTTGTTTACGCCTGTGATCCCATTATGGATAAGTTCTTCAGAATACTAATGGAAATATCTCACTATTTTTGGTTTCTGCATAGCTCATGTTCTTTCACTTTCTTTTCGAGATTGCCTTTCTATATGACCGGTGTCCTTACTCTCCATTATTTGTCATCCAAATCTTCCTTATCTGAAACGCCTGTAGACATTATATGTGGTTTACATGCACTTTAGTACGTTAGGATACATAATCATGAATTAAACATCTATATCTATATCTATATATATTGAAAGAGGTTGATGGAAAAATCATTTATGAAAAGTTAAAAAAATTGATCAAACTTTTTGACTTATCACTTATAGAAATCACTTCAAAATTCAAAAATTTATCCATTTGTTGCGTAAGTTAGCTTTATTTTGTAGAAATAGAATCAACTATATTCCATATTTTACATAAAATACATTTGCAAAGATTCAGTTTTATACTATAATCTATATCTATATATATTGAACAAGGTTGATGAAAAAATATCAAAATAGTAAGTTTGACTTCTTAATTAAAAGATTTGACTTACTAATTAAAGAAATATTTTAAAATATTACTTTATTTTTATTTTCTTAAAATATTAAAATCAAATAGTAACTTTTTTTCATCCTATAATATTTAAATTTGTAGTTGTAATTTTTAATTTTTCAATAACTTCTAATTTTCTTTTTCTTTTATTTTAAATAATAGAGTAATTATTTGTTTCCATAATCATTGTTTAGTTTTTGGAAAATAAAAATATTAATTATTGCTTCCTTTTATATGTCAATTAGTAAAAAAATATAAATAAGACTATTAATTTCTTTTCATAATCTTTATTTTTATTTAACTAATAAAAAAGTTTTCTAATTGAAGATCTTTTACTTTCAATATATGGTTTTCTATATCTTCCACAATTTTAATTGGTAAGAATTAATTTTATATATATATAAAATTATTAAAATAGATAATTTATAAATAAAATAATGTATAAACTATGCACTTCAATTTTAAACCTATGTCTTTTTAAAGACTTTATTTCATTTATAAATTAAATTTCATTTTAAAAATATTACCGAATCTTCTAAACATTAACATTAATTATGGTAATAAATTACTAATAAAAAAGGAAATAAAAATATTATTTAGGAGTATTATTAAATAATTAATTAATTTTTGAGCTAAACAATTTAGAATGATAATTATTTTAAAATAAATGAAGTGTGCATATAAATTATACTTTAAACTATTATATATCATGAAATAAATGTAATACAAAAATTTAAATTTGCATACGAAATTTAATATAATTACAAAGTGCAAATAAACGATACAAAAATTATAACATGTAATACAAATATACCCATAATCAGTACAATATATAATAATAATAATAATAATAATAATAATAATAATAATAATAATAACAATAATAATATATTTTTTGGGTGAGGTAGCAGATATACCACACATATAACCAGAATTTAACATAAAAGAGTATAAGTTCAACTATTACTTAACACTGGGCAATCATAAGTTCATATACTTCAAATATACCCATATTTCAAGGATAAAAACAAAAGAATTTAACATAAAAGAGTAAGTTGAACTATTACTTAACACTTAGCAATCATACGTTCATATACTTCAAATATACCCATATTTGAAGGATAAAAAACAAAAGAAAGAAAAATATAAAAAAAAAAATTAACCTGGGGTATTAAGCTAATTGCAAATGAACAGTAACATTAAATATACCAAACATATAACTAGAATAAAACATAAAAGATTATAAGTTGAACTAATACTTAACATCTGTCAATCAAAGTTCATACACATCCAGTTCAACAAAAATAAGTTCATACCCAAATTGTTTCAATACAAAATCAATCATAATACTTAAATTTGTCACATACACCCAACATACTTAAAAATGTCTATGATGTTTTCCCCATATTCAGAAGACTAAGCCGAACTTCATCAGGGACACTATCGGGGATTCATCATCACTCTCATATCCATTAGTCTATTTCATTCTGCCATGAGTATAGAGCAGATATGCTTATCTGTCCCTTTGAGAATTAACATCAAACTTCCTCTTGGTAATATCATGACCCGAAATGAAATGTTTGGCAAATGATGCAACGTACACCCTGCAATCACTGTCCATAAGATAAAAAAGTGTAAATAAGGTAAATAATATTAATAATAATAATAATGATAATACATAAATAAAGCAGGCAGAAGAAGAATGACAATTTCAACTTTCAAAGTCATGTATGGTACCTGTT